GCTCCAGCGTCCGGCAGAGGAGAAAACATCGGAAAGTAGAGAGAGATGGAGAATAGATATGGGGTAGGGGATAGGAGAAATTTGAGGGGATACGAGAGAGAAAAATAATCCAAAGCTTATTTTATGACTTAAGGGTAGGAGATGACCATAAATAGATATTTGACTATAAAAAATCAAAAGAAAGCTATGGAATATAATTTTTTAAAAGGGTATTTATTTAAAATAAATAAGGTATCAACCTTTGCTATATGATGTAACTAATCCTTCTAAGAGAAAATTTAATATTTATACAAATTTAATAAACTTCTTAACATTAATATAATATTTAAACAAAAGTTATTGGAATCAGCCAAACACGTAGATGAGCTTCTATCTCCGCCCGTGATTGTGGGTATAGCCAAACACGTAGTCAAACTTCTAGCTCCGATTCTGATTGTGGGCTCTTAGTCATTGAACTGTCTCGCCGGAACGGATGAAACTTTGTGAAAATAGCACGGGCTAGCCAGTTTTCGGACTGGTAATTGAAAAATAGTCAGCGTTTGCAAAAATCATTGAAAAATAGCCACTATTTTGCTGCAACACGAGAAGTTCCATCATAATATACTCGAGATTGGTGCACATGCGTATGAGCTTCGGGCATATTATGCTGGAGCTACAGTATATTATGCTGGAACTCCAGTATATTATGCCGGAAGTTCACATGTAAAAAATTCGAATTCCAGTATATTATGCTAGAATATTTTTCGGATTTTTAACAGTGTTTTCAGATTTATCTTTACATGAAAAGTGACTATTTTATTTCAATTACTTTTGAAACTGTGGCTATTATTTAATTACCATTTGTAAATCTGGCTATTTTTTAATTTCGCACTGAAACTTTTGGTAAAGATACATGAGCACAATTTGTTTAAAAGGGTCATCACATGGAAAAACTGTTATAATTTATTTATATAATTTAAACAGACACAACGAGAGCCAGTGCCAAAAGTCTTCACATTAGGTGCGAAAGGCAACTCCTTAACTATATAAAGAAATTCGTAACGCTACGAAAGAGGTCGTACACCTTTTAGAATGCAACAGGAGCAAAGCTGCTTCTAAAATAAGAAAAACAAGATATCATTCACATCCACCACTCTCCATTATAAACGATTTATCTCCACTGTGGTTGAATCACAAGGAAGAACATATAGTAGAGTAGATTCCATCGTATGCCACAATTTTTTTATAACTGTAGTGTCCGGTCCAACTTGCACACGCTTCGACTAATTGCACGCTACCTGCTACCTCTTACAAACACGTGTAACTCTATGGTACGCCACAAGGTTATCAGTATAAAAATACAATAAGCTAATATTCAAGTAGAACATTTCTATTTTTAGTGAACGTTTACAAACTATTGGAACTCTATCCAAGTACTATCAGTAGGAAAATTCACATCAAAACTCGTCATTCCCTAGCTAAGATAACTCAAATCCAATAAAACAAGGTGTAAAGAGAAGACAGAAGAAGCATTTCGAAGCAATGAAAATTACACCATGTAATTCCAGCTTTCAATAATAATTCAGATGTTATCAAGATTAGTATGAAGTGGGCAGAAATACAGATTTTTTTTTTTGAAAAGGGCAGCCCAGTGCACTAAGCTCCTGCTATGCGCAAGGTCCCGGAAAGAGCCGAACCGCAAGGGTCTATCGCACGCAGTCTTACCCTACATTTTTTTGCAGGAGGCTGTTTCCACGGCTCGAGAATCCATGACCTCCTGGTCACATGACAACAACTTTACCAGTTACGCCAAGGCTCCCCGATGTAGAGATTTTTTTTTTTTAAAAAAAAAGGGGCATCCTGGTGCACAAAACATCCTGCATCCGCACTCCCATAATGTGATGTAGATAGCCTACCCTAATGCAAGCATTCATGGCTGCTTCCACGGCTCGAAACCGCGACGTATACATCACATGGAGACTATAACTGCTCCCTTTGGAGCAGATACAGAGATAAATGAAAAGAAAATGGTAATAATGGGGGGAGCATTAAAAGTGTGTAGATTCTCGTAGAAAAAGAGTGATTTCCTGTTGATAATCATCATTCTGCTTCACCCTTTTTAAAACAGGAACATGTCAACATTTGAACTATGAAACCAAAAACCATACCATACGAGCGAAAAAGGGTTATTCCTCCAGTTGGTTGAGCAGTCTATTAGTAGTTAGCAATTATCAGCACATTCCTCTTGTCCCTCCCATCAATTAGTACCTATGGCAAATTCTATAGGCAAATTAACATGAGCAGTACCATTTCACCTCCAGAAAAATCGGCTTTTTAATTCCTTTTGGCCCTTCCCAACTTCTCTTCACTTGTACAATACACATCTTTTGTCCTGCAAGATCAAGAAATTAGTTTTGACGAAATTTTTGTTTCAAGAAAAAATCTGATAACTGTAGCTAAGTTATGATTGAAGATTCCGTAAAGCGGCAAAACTTTATAACAATAACTAGAACTAGAATAGGATACCAAATAAATCATACAACCCATATGCAGCAGTGTCCTACCTTCTGTATTTTCCATCTCTTCACCTTTTTCACCATCCCCTGGTACTATTGCACATTAAAGATGTTAATGAATAATCATAAACATGTCCAGTAGAGTGGATATTTACATGTAGGTACGATACGAACAATGCCATGTTAAGATTGTCCACAAGTCAGCCACAAGAAAGGAATTAAGTGATGATTAAAGTATCCTATTTCAGCATAATTATAAACTAACAATCATTTCATAGAGGTTTCCAATACCAGAATTCGTTAAATAACCAATGGAACCAGTAAGTCAACCTGTACGTCATGAATTTCAGGTATTCTTTAAAATCTACAGAAACTGTATCTATAAAGACAAAATATTAGAGTGCAAAATTGAGGTAAAAGAAATACTGGATTAAAACTTAGTAATGTCCTATATCAGCAGTGTATCTATGAAAAATTAATGTGTGAGATGACATGAAGAAAAAAAACAGCATGCCTCCATAAATACAATTATCTTAATAGTCAACGTTACAGGCAGCAAAGTAGAGCCAGAAGTCAGTTGAAATTCGTTGAAAAATCTTTTCAGCTATGATATACAATCCATGATGCAGACAACGCCCCTTGCTTACAGTTTGCTCAAAGTAGCTTTTTTCAATCAGGTGAACTGACCAAATACTAAGCAAAAACTTTAACTTTCAAGTTTTCAATATTCAAATTCTGGTGTGAAATTTTCAAACAAAGTACCAGCTTGTATGAAAGAAAGATAGATGATCATGATGTTTACAAAAATAGTTAACCTAAAGATTTTTAAACAGTCTTTGCTCAAAGGAACAAATATTAAACAAGTAAACAGAAAGAAAGAGAGATCTTCCTCTCTAATCCTTACTCTTCTTGATACACCGTCTGAAGTGCTGACGTGGAAATCTAGTCATTCACTCGCCTTCTTCTGGCGACAAGGATCTGCCTCCGGACTGTTCTTAGGTTGACTCATTTTTAAAAGCATATCTGATTTTCCATGCAACCAACAATGAAGAGAAACTTGACTAGAGAAAAGAAGCACACTAAATTCAGACAACTATTCTACACGTCTTCCAATAGTTAAACTTTTCCTAATGGAAAATTATTCACTTCATATAGCTAACATCTTCAAGTTGCTTACCCGTTCAACTTTGTCGAATGCTATGCATACAATAACAACTGTTGAAGCAACCCAACATAAGCATATAAAATTAGCACAAGTCGATGATCTCATAGCCAAGAATAGCTAAAAGGCACCACCTTATTTCCACCCTAAGAGGTCTTCAACAACAACAACAACAAACCCAGTTTGATCCCAACATGTGGGGTTTGGGGAGGGTAGTCTGTACGCAGACCTTACCCCTACCTAATGCAGGTAGAGAGGCTGTTTCCAATAGACCCTCGGCTCAGGAAGGGCAAGAAGAAGAAGAAGGAAGCAAGGAAGGAAGAAAGATAGAAGAGAAAAAGGGAGAGATAAAGGATAAGTAGTATCAAATAATAGCAACATGGAATACAATACCTGAGGCGAACAAAATCACATATCGTAATAAAAATCTAAGAATATGAAGGGACATGCACGCTACTAAGCCTATCGGTAAACACTATAAACTACCTACTAACCTTCTACCTTAATCCTCGACCTCCACACCCTCCTAACTTAAGTTTTGATAATTCTCACAAGTCCATATATATCACACATAGCACCTAAAAGGACTTCACCATGGATAAATAGATGAATATTCAAAAGCAAAGTTGAAATTAAGCAAGTACATGGCAAAAGCAAGGAGTATAATAGCCTTATTCAGAAGCTCACATATTGATTAATTGAAACACACAGTTTGGTATAAGCTTTAGCATTTAGGCTAGTAAAGCTGAGAAAGGATTGCCCAGATATAAGTTCACTCAACTGTATGGATAATGAATCCAAGTTGGTTCAATATGAGAAATTTCAGCATGCCTTAGGCTTGGGAAGCAATAATGCAAACTGAAGTTGAAAATATTAGTTAGTTTTTTCCTTTGTTTTTCCCATAACATTTTTATTAATTTAAAACAGGCCAGGTAACTCAATACATGTAAAGTTGGATATACGAAGGCAAAAGCAACTTCGATGGTTGAGGACATCTGGTATTCACGGTTATGGTTAGAATGTAAAGTGACACATAAATCTGGTGAAAAATACTTAGGTTAGTTTCAAAAACTTTGTTTGAACCTCCTGATCTTTTTTGCTGACAACCACCAAATTAAACAAGTTGGGCACTTCCAAAACACTCTTATATCTGCAAGAAATGAAATGAGCTACATGCAGCTTTAGAACATAAGTTAGGATGCCCCTGATCCAACTTATTGTCAAAGATCTTGATATTAGCCTAAAATATGCAAGAGTTAAGCAAATATTCCCTTCTGTCCTTGGAAAAGTTTATGATAACAAACAAGAATGAACATTTTTCTTCAGAAAAAAAGTACTCTAGCTTCACATGTAACAGGATGTTATATCATCAATAGGCAATTGAAGGAATTACAGAGCTCAATTTCCTCATATTGTCTACACACAATATCTCCAAAACCATCTATTAGAAGTAACAAATGGAGGAAAGAGAAATTAAAGAATTTATACACCCGACTTATCAATATTCTACAACAGTTAAGAGATTAAGAAAATAAATTAAACTGAGTGTGCATCTACAAAGACTTCATTGAACATGTCATCCTCACCATTTGCTGTAGTAAGCATATCCGCGTCCTTCTCCTCGTCACTGGAAAAATCCCGTTTCTCAAGTTTTGCATGAGCTGCAATGAAGATCATTCTTTGAGCCCTATCCATGCCAACCCTCGAGTTCCCTTGCAGAGAAACCCATCTCATAAAGGACCAGTTACATTTAAATCTGCATGAGGTCGCCTGAAGGAAGAGAAGCCTAACCGCAACCTTACCCAATGACTTGAACTCTTTTNAACCTTACCCAGCGACTTGAACTCTTTCAGGCAAGTTTCCCATACAAGCCTACTACTCTGAGGATTTGCAATTTTCATTCGCCCCGTTACTGGATCTCGCTGCTTTACTTGAACAGCCTGAGCATACAGTGGGTCGAGCCCTTCTAACCTCCATTTCATAAGCTCCATTAGTGCAATGGGAGCTTCCTCCCTCGGTACTAGCCGTGTTATAAGCTTGTCTATGTCCTTCTCTTGATCATGTGTCAGACGTTTAAATGGTGGAAGGTACTTCCCACTTGCATCCCTCACTAAGTATAATGGATCAAGTACAAATGCAGCTGCCCATGCAGGATGATAGTTTCTCTTGAACCGCGCATCAATTATCTTCTCAATAGGGCCCTCAGTAATGCTAAATTTGGCACACCAGTCCTTTACTTTAGCTCTCAACTCCTCCCAAAGAAGAAGACACTGACCAACTAAGGGTCTCTCAGCCTCAATGTCATCAGCCATCTCCTTAATCAGTTTCACTAGTGAATGAGCAGCCTCCACATCATTCCAAAACCCAACATCCTGTATCATCTCGGCCACTTCTCTAGCAACAGGATCCTCTATGCATGAGACCTTATAGGAATCATCCACCACTACTAGCTGCAGTATTCGAGCATAACTTAGTATATCCTCCAACATTGCGATAACAGGACCAAAGTTCTTAGATAAATTGCAGTCAGCTGAAGGAACTCTAATCAACCCTGCAAGCTCAACGCCACATGATCTGAACTTCCTAAAATGATTTCTGATCTGAGACTTGCTATTGAAAAGATTTGCAATCTTGAAACAATTATCAGTAACAGTTTTAAAAAGTGGAAGCTCTCTACTAAAGTCTTTCAACAAACTAATAACTCCATGAAGTTGGCATGAGAGATTAACCATCCAATGATTTTGAACCTCCAAATTCCGCAATGCCTTACCTTTATACTTATCCGCGACTATTCCTACACATCTTTGAACAACATTACCACACAACCCTTTAATCGTTTCACTTAAGACTTCCTCCGCATACTCAGATGGCACCAAACCCCCCTTATACACTGCCTTATGAAATACATTAGTACCATTAGGAAGATTTACAATAAATTTAATCACAGTTTCTTCCCCATACTTACAAATATCCCTCCCCCATCCATCTGAAGCAACCTGAAAAAACGCTGCATCGCGGATTCTGGTTTCGGACTCCATTCTTGCTTCTTCAAACTTAGAATCAAGCTTTTCTCCCACAAAGTCCTTCCTCGAAACCGCGGGCAAGCCTACTTGGTTAAGGAAAGCTTTGAACTTTGGATGCTCAATGCTTGAAAGTGTGACTGTCCCACAGGACTCGTAAAACCAATCAGCTAACAAATTGAAAGCTGAATCAACCTGGTCCTTACTCAAAGCTGGACCAGGGGAAGAACCTTTCAAACTTTTAAGCTTCTTTACACTATCTTCAAACATAGCTAAAGCACCCAAATCCTCTTTCCCACCTGACAACACCAAATGCTGCTGCTGCTGATGATGATTATGATGATTCAAACCCATGTGGGCCACAATTTCTTGGGCTGTTTGGACTGGTGAATAGCCCATTTCACCTCTGTAATTGTCCACCAATCCAACTTGGTGGTGGGAACTTGACGAAGTACCAGTTTGTGGTGAACTTCGCTTGCGATGATTCTGTGAAGAAGGTGAAGCTAAAGGGGGTAATTGTGAAATGGGCCTTAAGACAGAGCCAAAATTGGGACAAGTGCCTCTCTTAAGATGCTCTGTAGCAGTACGAGATGGGTTTGAAGCTGAAAACGCAGCGTCACACAAAGTGCACTTGAGTTTCACTGCTTTAGGGAGGTTTGTTTCTGGGTTTTGAATCAGAATGGGCTCGAGATGAGCCCAGTACCATGCTCCTTTCCCTTTGATAGCTTTTGTACGGACCGCAACTAGCCCTTCATATCGCTTGTTCACCGCTTTCGCCGCCACGTCTTCGCCAGAAGTTAACGCGTCAAGTGGGTTAGCATTCACGTTAGCCATTTCACAAGAATAACAGCGAAAAAAATTAGGAGCTTTTGTAGGTCTATTATACTGTTGCTGAGCTTGTTATCCACTTCAGTGTGTCTTTGAGTATCATCATTGTGTTGGCTTAAATTTTGAGCTCCGGTGAAAAAAATTCGATGTATACGAGGTGGGTTTTCGGATATGCCGGAGTCCCATGCCGGAAACCGGCGACCCAATCGGCGAATGAGGAACAACTGAGAAGACAAAACTGGTATGTAGATTATATGTTTGAGTGAATGCTTAACTGAATCTGTAGTAAAATTGGTGTTTGACAGAAGAGAAATTAGGAGCAAGAATGGTATTGGTGAGGAAAAGAAAGAGACTACTACTTCATTGGAGTCTTATTGTGCTACTTTTGTCGTTGAGAAATGAGAAGACAACCTGCGGGGTAGGAGGGGGGTGGGGGTGTAAAACCTGGTATCACGTGCTGATAAAAGCGCGTGTGCAAAATCTACCTAAACGGTGGCTTTAGATTTGTCAACAGGAGAAGAGGGTGGAGCCCGTGAGATTTTTTTTGCTGCTAATTTAAAAAAAAAAAAATAGACCAATGGAAATTGACTCCTCCACTTATGGTCAACACTGGAGACTGATCACTGCTCAGGCTGACATCAAAGTAGAACAATTTTTAGTAGAAAATGAAATTCACCTTTGACAGCTGGGAATTTCTATTTTTCTACCAATCCAAAATAGTGTATAAGATTGTGTTTTGGCAAAAATCTTTTAATTTTGACTTGGTGACGGTATTGTGATTAAATGGCTCATATGATTACGAAATTCCAATTTGGATTACTCACGAAAATTTTCCAATATTAGCTTATCTTATATTAAACCAAATTGGTTTCACTTTCTTAATGCACAAAATGAGCGTTACTTTGAAGGCATCTACTACGATAGTGCAGATTTGATTAGTTTTATACAGGATAATATGGATTAATTCGCGCGCATTTCATCTTTAAGTAGTATAGTTGTTATCTTTTATTAACATACTTGTTGAGTAATTTTGTGATATTCCCGAGCCTCGGGTAGAGGTAAGATTTTGTGTATACGCTACTCTCCCCATACCTCGTTACTAGAATTTTACTAGATCATTGTTGTTGTTATTATTGAGTAATTTTGTGCATTAAAGCTTAGACGAAAGAAAATCACCAAAATAAATTTATTTTTATTGAAAATTGAACTATTATGAATTTTTATAGTTTTCACATTTCATGTACTCCAGTAACTGCGGCTTAATTCTATGTAATAATATGTGGATTTTATTTTTATCAGAAGAGTTTGATTGAATTGTAAAATATGTCATTACACAGTATTTAGCTAAAGAAAACTTTATATCAGTATGCACACCCTTGCAGCTAGATCAAAACTAAATAGCTTCTTGATTACTAATTGACAAAAAGTTAGATCTGAAAAATAAGGATTATGTAAAATGAAGTTAATTAAACTTTTAAAAAATGGCCAAGTAGTATAAGAGCTAATTAAAAGTGCTCCGAGTATCACTTAATTTTCTCCTAAGGAGTCTTATTTCCATGAGATATTTTGGAGTATCCACATTATTATTGCCCTTAAAATAATTATTGTAGCTAATGTAACCATCCCTCCGGCAATAATGAACAACAAAAGACTAATTACTGCATTGCCGTTCAATATTTTCAATAATTACTTGTGGATTTTACATATATTTTTAACAAAAAGAGTATCACTAAGCTAATGAAGTCATAATGTAGGCTCAATTAGTGGGATAATAAGTCAGACGCATTAATCACCTCATATATACTAAATTACACGAAGTCATGGCAGTTCATAATAAGCATCACACAAAATCATTATAATGTTAGAAAGCTTTTATAACGAAAAAAATTAGGAAGGTTGATATCTAAATCATAAATCCTTAGCATTTGGTGAAGTGTTTAATGATTATTTATATAAAAGCACGACTAATTGCTACCTGTTTGGTATCCCGTAATCAGTTCCATAAAAGGAGCAATAAGCATGATTAGTATATTGGATTATGGTGGTTATAAGCACTTGAATGGTTTAGTTGGATTAAACCATAAGCAACAGTCAAGAAGGAGATAATAAACACGTTGTTCGTTTGGAGTTGAGTTATTCTACCTGTATCTAGGAGCGGATCAACAATGTAATGTGAGTATAGATCCACGTGAATTTAGTATTTTTTGCTCAATCTAAATATATTTTAGGGGCAAATACATTATTATTGTAATGGATTCATTTAAACTCAGAATTTTTTATGTTGAGCATAATTTTATGCGTAAAAGTTCATTAAAACAACAACACATAATGGATTCGAATCCATAATTAAAAAATATAAGGAGTTTAATGCTAATAACTTTAAAGAATAAAACTCATAAAGTTTTATCTATAAGTATTTTACTATGAACTTAATTATTATTAGTATAATATACTTGAGTTCCTTTTAAAAATTCATAAACTTCAAATTCTGGATTCATCTCTATTTGTTTCACTTAAATATGTATATACACTCAAACCTCTCTATAACAGTCTCGTTTATTCCGATATTTTTTGGCTGTTATAGTGAAGTGTTGTTATAGAGACATATATTATTACATAACATAAAAATCGATTCCGAAGAAAACTTGGCTGTTTACACGTAAAACGATACAGTTGAATTTATATGTGGTTTATAGACAAGTGAATCGATTTGATCCCAAAATGATAAATAAATTAAACAAGAATGTAAGACTTAACGTTGAAATCGAGATAAGACATCAGAAATCTTGGTTCCGGGAGCAGAGCTTCCAAGGACAATATAACAATATTAATAAGCAAGAAGATAAAATATTATTGAGCTATTATATAGCATNGCCCTCCCTACAATAGATGTTGAGCTCACTATTTATAGTTGTTCCTACGATCAAGCCCCTTTTAAATAACAATTATAGGGGCCATTGAAGAATGTGTAACGGGTAGGCAATGAATGTCATATTCTTTGTAACGGACTACGTACTTAATGCTATAGAAAATTCTCCATTAAATGCTATTGGGTGGCAGGCATTTATATTGTCTTTATGAACATTATTCCCTTTGGTAACAAATGGGATTGTTGCCTTCGGACCTGATTGCCACTTACCTTGTTTTCCATTTGCCTTCTGCCCCATGTGTCACTTTATTATTTGAGCATTTATTATGAATATACTTTACCCTATACAGATAGTCCCCCTACTTTTCGGTGGCACATCCTTGTGTCAGCGGGAAGTTGGTGAAGATACCTTTCTTGGCGGAAAATTCTCTGATCCCATCTGAAAAATTTCTGACGGTTTATTAGACATCTCCCCACATTTAATGCCACGAACACGTGTCATCCTATGATTCAACAATACTTTCGTTGGTTCTCGAGGTAATTATGACCACGATTTAGCCGCCTATTTTTTTTACTTATACACATCAATCTTCTCTTTTTACACTTTATAATTTTCTAAACTTTCTCAAACTCTCTTTACTGAACTCACACTTGTTTTCAACTTCCTTTAATCTTCTTATTCAAAGAAAAAACCTTTACTTCCTTCTGATAACTATGGTCTCCTCTTCCAGAAATTCAAGTGTTTCAAAGAACACTGATGATGATGCTCCTCCTACGGTGAGCACCATTATTTTGAGAAGGCTTACTATAACTAAAGACTTCAAAGAGAAGTACCCTTCTTCTAATCCCCGCACATGGGTTGTTTGGGTATATCCTTCTTCCATCTGTCATTCTAGCATCCATGTTGTGAAAGAAAACTGTGGTTGTCAAGATTTGAACATCATCGCCCCTGACTTAGTAGAGCAGGTAACCTTTTTCCAAGAAGGGTTTTACGTATGTTTATACGTACCCCTTCACTTTGGTCCCCTTCTCATTGATCAAGGGGCTTGACTTCGTTATCTTGGAGTTTTGCTTTTATTACCAAGTCTGCTTGGCACAGGTGAGTGATGAGCTTAAAATTACTTAATGTTTTGCCCACTTTGCATTTTTGATTTGGTTGACTCGATTGAGATTTGGTCTTATTTGGGTCTAATATGTTGTCTTTCAATGCAGGTGATGCAGAGGAGATCAATGGACGAATAGTGCACTTAGTGGGAGAAAACAAGTTGAGCAAGAGGTAAACTCAGGTGCGCGACCATGCACGAGTGACCCCCAGTGCGCACTTGAGCGCACAAGTGTTACAGAACTCTACCAAAGGTGCGCGACCATGAGCACGTCCAGACCCTCAGCTGCACGGCCGCGCATGTCCATCTCCAGGAATTTGACTCAGGCCTAATTTTGTAATTTTGGAGGCAGCCTTTTGACCTATATGTAACCTCCTCGTCCCAAAAAAGGGAGAGGTAATTTTGGCAACAGCTTTTGGAGAGAAGAAGTCAAGGAAACAACTGAGACTCGGAATACTTCATCCAATTCATTCAATACGCAAGTTTGTTTGATTCTGGAAATTGTAATGTTTTCCTTTTCTTCTATTACTCTTGTGACGAACAACTCCTCCACTATGGAGTAATCTTTCTTAGGGTTATTGATAGATATTATGATTGCCTATTGTCAAGGTTTGCTTTGTGTTAATTTCCTAAATTTATTGAATGTGTTATTAATTGAATTGCAAGGTCGATTGTATGTTACTTTAATCGAAAGAGAAGTGTTGCTGCAATTTGCATTGTGTTATCTAGTTTGGATTGATTTTACGCCTCTCATAGGTAATCGAAAGAGCTTATAAAGTTATCAATTAACCCAATTTGAAAGAATAGTTGAGAGACGTTCTTCGTAAGATCATTCATTCAATATATTTTTGCATATGTTCATAGAACTTGTCATTAGATTGTTTAACAGCACTCGCATTCATTCGGAAGAAAAATTTGAATCCTTAAGATAGCTAATCATCTTTTGAAATCGAAAGAGTCAATAGAAGTTAAGTGAACTTAGCATAGAGCTACCCAGAATAATAGTTGGTCATATATCTTGTCACAACCCTTATTTCTCACCTTGATATTCCATCATTGCTACTTAATTAGTCACTAAATTTCCATTATTTTCTCATAGTCGATAATCTTAGTTTTTATTCTTAGTTTGGTAATAACTCAAATCAAAGGTTTATTTTCATGAATAGTGTTAAGTTGAAGATTTATTTGGACATTATTTAAATCAATCCATGTAGAGACAATTTAATATTATACTATCTTTGACTAGCGAGCCTAAGTTTTATAAACCGATTTTGCACTCGTTAAATTTTGGCGTCGTTGCTGGGGATTGGCAAATAATATTGTTTAAAATAATTTTCGGTGCTAATTCAGGAACAATTTTATTATATTTTCCTTTTGTTGTTGTTGTTTGACTCTCTTATTATATGTGTGCAGGTAACAAGTTAAGTTCAGTGGTGTATGACTCGATCCTTCTCCAAGGAATTGGTGCCATACAATTTAGAATTAAACAAGCACTTGCGGTAGTTGAGAAGGGAGAAAGGATCGAGCGGATCATTGTTGGGTCAGATTTCGACTCAAAATACAATGGTGAACAACGAAGAGGACATGAACCTAGATGCGATAGAGGCAGCTAAACAACAGGATGCACGGTTAGCAGCTAAAGCAGCCGATAGACTTGCTGAGGAAACAGTCGAAGAGGATCGAAGGTTCAATCTCAACCGAACCATGGTCGAAGATGAATTTGAAAATACAGCTCCCAGGCCTGGGAGGTCTCTAGGAGACTATGCTAGACTGGTGTACAATCAGCGGCAATATAGTGTTAGGCCTTCACCCATTGATGCCAATAATTTTGAACTCAAATAGGGAGTCATCCAGACCATTAAGAACAACTACATATTCAGAGGCAAACCCAATGAAGATCTCAATAACCAACTGATAGACTTCGATGAAATCATGAACAGATTCCGCTATAATGGAGCTTCACATGATATTATCTACCTTAGAGCATTCCCATTCTCACTTAAGGATAATGCAAATCAGTCGTGAAGGAGTATACCCATAGGGCCAATCCGTACGTGGGAGGAGATGACTACCAAGTTCTTAGAAAAATATTTCTCTATCCGTACGTGGGAAGAGATGACTACCAAGTTCTTATAAAAAGATTTCTCTGCTGCTAAGACTGGAAGAGGGAGGAGATTCATAATTTCAGCCAAAGAGAAGGGGAGACAGTGTTCGAGGTATGGGAAAGATTTAAGGAGCTATTGCGAGGTGCCCTCACAATGGAATGGAGCAATGGATGCAACTCCAAGATTTTTGGGACGGGTTAAACCCGTCATCAATGAGATTGTTGAACAGTGCGGTTGTAGACCTTCTGGTGAAGAAAAATCCAAAAGAGATTGTTATACTTCTAAATGAACTATCTGAAGACGTAGAACAATGGTCCATTGACCAAGGAGATCGAAGGAGATCAGCAGGGGTATGCCAAGTGGAATCTTCTGTATCAATGCAAGCCCAAATTGCAGCTAGGGATAAGTACATTAAGAAACTGATGATAGCTCAGGTACAAAATCAACCGCAGATGGGATGTGACATCTGTGGACTGGGACACCCAACTCATGAGTGCCAAACCTTTAGTGTAGAAGAAGAAGTTAAGGCATTGGGGAATTTCAACAGAGGGAACTACCAAGGAGGAAGTAATTTCAATTTTATAGAACAGAGACATCTGGGGTTCTCATGGAGTTCTTCAAATGGTAGCTTGAATTCATGGCAGCAGCAAAATCCCAGAGCACTAGTGCAACGACCTCCTGGCTTCCAAAACCAACAAAGGCAACAGTACTCTACAGCCCAACAATTTCAGTTTAGAAGATCTAATGAAGGCATTCATAAATAAATCAGATGAGAAGTTTGAGACTCAAGGCACAACCATCCGAATCTAAAAAGACAAATAGGACAGCTCGCATCATTATTATCAGAAAGGGCCCCGGGGACTTTGTCATCCGACACTGAGAAGAATCCAAAAGAGACGATCAAGGCCGTATCTCTTAGGAGTGGGAAAACATCAGCGGATCCCATGGCAAAACCAAGGGTTGAGAAGGTGACCAATTCAACCGAGATAGTAGAAATTGATGAGTCTTTGATTAAGGAGGATATCAGTAGCAAGGAGGTTGATAAGTAGAAGTCAAACAGTATAGTTGAAGAAAGCAAGCACAGGCCAGTGTTACCTTTTTCTCAAAAGATGAAGCGGGAAAAATTAGATAAATGCTTTGGAAAATTCTTAGAGATGTTGAAACAGCTGTATGTGAAAATCCTGTTCACCGAGGTGTTCACCCAGATGCTAGCCTATGCCAAATTCCTGAAGGAAAACCTGTCAAGTAAAACGAAACTCGAGGAAACGAAAGTGGTCAAACTCAATACACACTGCAGTGCCATTCTACATTACAAAATTCCTCAAAAGTGTGGGTATCCTGGTAGCTTCACCAAATCCTGCTCATTAGGGAGCGAAAAGTTTGACAAGTCCTTGTGTGACTCACGTACATCCATTAACTTGATTCCATTATCGGTGTTCCAAAAATTGGATGGAGAACTAGGAGTCATCAAATATGTGCTAGTATCTCTGCAACTGGCTGATCAGACCACGATCATACCATTGGGCATAATCGAGGACATTCTGGTGAGGATGGAGAAATTTGTCTTCCCAATAGACTTTATTATAATAAACATGGAAGTAAATAAGAAGGTACCTCCAATCTTGGGGAGACCATTCCTTTGCACTAGCCGGGCTATTCTTGATATATATAAGGGTCAACTCATGATTTGAGTAGGAAACGAAAAAGTGGTGTTTCAAATAAAGAGAATGATGAAATACCCGTGTGATGAGGCATCTGGCTTGTTGATACCCAATTTTCCCATAATATTTTCAAAACTATGCTTTGACATCAACCAGTATTTCTTCATACAATTTCTGCATCTTTAAAATATTTTAATTAATTTATCTCAGCATTTGTTTTTATAAAACAATCACTAAATTGCATCACAAATAGTTTAATAATAATTTTGTGACTTAATTCTATTATTTGCATTTGTACTAAGTTTCAATTATTGTACAAAAAGCCCATTTGTATTTTTAGAATGCAACTGTAATTACTTTGCAACTATAGACTATACATGCATTATTACATTATTTTACCGAAAAATAGCCTTTTATATTCTTAAAATATTAAGTAATTATTTTAAAATATTTTCAAGCACAAAAATCATTTTTACAACCTATTAGTTATTTTTAAAAATTATTTTATCAATTAAATAAGGTATTTAACAAATGGCCCCTATTTTCAAATTTAGCCTAATTGGCCAACCCAATTTTAACCCCTTATAAACCAGCCCAGAAACCCCAGGCCCAATACCCACTTGTCCGACCCAATACCCGGCCAAATTCTGGCCGTTGATCATTTTGATCAACGGTCCAGATTCATCCTTACCTATATTAAACCTAATGACCCCCCCAAGCCTCTCATTTCCCCTCCTCTCACGCCGACATTTGATCCCCACTACTCTCAAAAGCCCTCAAGTCCTAACCATAACTCACCCTCATCGCCGTTCATCTGTTGTCGTTCGTGGTGTTTCCCCACCACCATCAGGCCTCTAATGGCCTCCCTTATGTTGTTATTGACATATCTAAGGTCCTCGAGGGACCAGGGTCAGTCCATTTTCATCTATGGCCCTTTCTCTCCTGTTTCAGGCTATGTCGGTTTGATTTCGAGTAAGATCTTCCTATGTCGCCTTAGATCTATGGATTTCTAAGCCTACTTCTTCATCTTTGTGTTGTTCTTCTCGAAATCCTAATTTTTTCCTTCTGAAATGCTTAGATCTGTACAGATCTGAGATGGTTTGGACCTATTTCACATGAGTTTTACAAGAACCATCTGATTTTCGAATGATTTTCTATTTTTTCTAAACTAGGGTTTCCCGAAAATTTCTTTCTCCAAAACGTTTGATGATTTGGCCCTCATAGATGGAAAAAGGATAAACGCAGTATGTCACGGTCAGCTTTACCAGAACAGAATGTCTAGGGCTTTCAATAAAAAGGGTCAAACCAAGGAAATTTGCACCAGGACAGCTGGTACTAAAGAAGATCTTCTACATCAAGATGAAGCCAAAGGGAAATTCTCTCATAAATGGAAAGGTCCCTTCATGGTTCATAGGGTGCTAACAGAAGGAGCACTCATACTTGCAAAGATGGATGGAGAAATATGGCCAAAACTAATCAATTCAGACGCAGTAAAAAGATACTATGCTTAGACTATTTACACTTCCTCATCTAATGTAATTGAACTACGCTTAACCTGATTCCCGTTTAAGAGGGGATACGTAGGAAGCCCTGTGGGTTCGGTCATATCATAATAAAATTTCCATTTTCCCCAAGATCAGAAACTGGGGCAGAATTTTAAGGAGGACCCTCAAAATTCCGGAGCAAGTCCAGTCAATGCCAACATATGCGAGACGGTCAGAAATCAGTTAAGAAACTGGGGCAGAATTTTAAGGAGGACCCTCAAAATTCCGGAGCAAGTCCAGTCAATGCCAACATATGCGAGACGGTCAGAAATCAGTTAAGAAACTGGGGCAGAATTTTGATAAGGATTCTTAAAATTCTGAAGAAGGTTCAACGAGTTTGTTTCCCGAAAACAGTCGAAGGGTCATCTACCAAACTGGGGTAAAATTTTGAGGAGGACCCTCAAAATTCTAACATGAGAAAGCTGCAATATCTCTGAAATGTGTTACAGTCACTAGTTTACCTAAAAAACTACTTGGTATTTCAATATGTCTCTAATATGACTCTATTTTATCAGTAATTGCATATTTTTGAAAACTCTATTTTCGTAACAGTAAGGTGTTACCCAGGGAAACTCAAATAAGGCCTCCAGAACGGAACAAAGCAAGGCAAGCAGACAGAAGCACGAACCAACCTCCCATCACAAAACTTACAATTTTGAACGTAGGCATATTCGACGTAGCGATAGCATTCGAAAATATGTATACACAAAGTAAAGTCACTATCAGTCAGGCTATCAGACACCGAATATATCTCCAGCTAAGAAATATACTACTCTTATTTGCTACTCGCTCTTTGCATGGGACTAAGCTCTGTCCCGCGTACTTGCATGAGGCTAATCCTTGCCTCTATATTTACAGGAGGCTAATCCTTGCCTCCATATTTTCATGAGGCTAATCCCTGCCTCCATATCTGTATGAGGCTAATCCCTACCTCTATATCTGCATGAGGCTAATCCCTGCCTCCATATCTGCATGAGGCTAATCCTTACCTCCATATTTGCTTGAGGCTAATCCTTGCTTTCATATTTGCATGAGGCTAATCTTTGCCTCCACATTTGCATGAGGCTAATCCCTACCTCTCTATCTGCATGAGGCTAATCCCTGCCTCCATATTTGCATGGGGCTAATCTCTGCCTCCATATTTGCATGAGGCTAATCCTTGCCTCTATATTTGCATGTGGCTAATACTTGCCTCCATATTTGCATGGGACTAATCCCTGCCTCCATATTTGCATGAGGCTAATCCTTGCCTCCCTGTATGCATGAGGCCAATCCCTGCCTCCCTGTCTGCATGAGGCTAATACCTGCCTCCATATTTGCATGAGGCTAATCCTTGCCTCCCTGTATGCATGAGGCCAATCCCTGCCTCCCTGTCTGCATGAGGCTAATACCTGCCTCCATATTTACATGAGGCTAATCCTTACGTCCATATTTGCCTGAGGCTAATCCTTGCCTCCATATTTGCATGAGGCTAATCCTTGCTCCATATTTGGATGAGGCTAATCCTTGCTCCATATCTGCATGAGGCTAATCCTTGCCTCCATACCTGTATGAGGCTAATCCTTGCCTCCATATTTGCATGAGGCTAATCCCTGCCTCCATACATGCATGAGGCTAATCCTTGCATCCATATCTACATGAAGCTAATCTTTGCCTCCATATCTGCATGAGGCTAATCCCTGCCTCCATATTTGCATGAGGCTAATCTTTGCCTCCATACTTGCACGAGGCTAATCCTTGCATCCATATTTGCATGAGGCTAATCCTTGCCTCCATACCTGCACGAGGCTAATCCTTGCCTCCATATCTGCATGAGGCTAATACTTGCCTCCACATCCGCATGAGGCTAATCCTTGCCTCTACGTTTGCATGGGGACTAAGCATTGTCCTCCTTGCATAAATATTGATCTATTCTGGTACTATCTATTTGTTTTTTGATTGGGCTAAGCTCTGCCCTTCATCTCACAAGACTAAGCCTTGTCTTGGTAACATCATATTATTTAATCTCATGGGCTGAAATATTGCCGACCTATCCAAAGGCGTCATAGTATAAAAGGCATCATCCTCATAGTCGGAAGACACCATGCCATGGCCTGAGGATCTCTCGAATTTGCATATCATTATTCAAAGGCGTCATGGTTCGGAGGTACCATTTTCATGGCCCGAGAACATCATTTCATGGCCTGTAAATCCCTCACTAAACAATTCATGGCCCGGGACATCATGGTCTGAGGACATCATCCTTAACCGTCTGAAGACAATTTTTGTGGTCCAAAGGGAATCTGCATCAGGTTTAAATTTTCGCACAAATATATGTCTTTAGCATCTCTTCATCTACATGTGACAAGTGAGCAACTGCTATCCTAGCAGGAGCGACCTCGCTCCAGTTCCTTCAACTATCTCAAACCTGAACCATTCACCATAACCACTCTTGCATCCACTCCAAAATCTCGTGTCCGTTCTTGTAATAAATTCATTTGTATATTCCACCAATGAACCCAGAACTACACGTGACCTGATTCTTGTAAAACCAGGGATATGTAAGTAGCTCAAAGACCAGAGTCCGGCCTCTATCTTTCAAAACATCCTATCCGGTCAAAATTGGCCATCATTTCTTTACCCGTAAACTTTTTCATCCTTCCTGGGTAAAGAGATGCAGTTGTTGATACCCAATTTTTCCCATAATATTTTTAAAACTATGCTTTGGCATCAACCAGTATTTCTTCATACAATTTTTGCATCTTTAAAACATTTTAATTAATTTATCCCAACATTTGTTTTTATAAAACAATCACTAAATTGCATCACAAATAGTTTTATAATAGTTTTTGTGGCTTAGTTCTAAATTTGCATTTGTACAAAGTTTCAATTTTTGCACAAATAGCCACATTTATATTTTTAGAATGCAACTGTAATTACTTTGCAACTATAGCCTATGCATGCATTATTACATTATTTTATCGGAAAATAGCCTTTTATATTTTAAAATATTAAGTAATTATTTTAAAATATTTTGAGATACAAAATCATTTTTTACAGCCTATTAGTTATTTTTAAAAATTATTTTATCAATTAAATAAGGTATTTAACAAATGGCCCCTATTTTCAAATTTAGCATAATTGTCCAACCTAATTTTAACCCCTTATAAACAAGCCAAAAAACCCCCAGGCCCAATACCCACCTGCCCGACCCAATACCCAGCCAAATCCTGGCCGTTGATCATTTTGATCAACGGTCCAGATTCATCCTTACCTAAATTAAACCTAATGACCCCCAAGCCTCTCATTTCCCCTCCTCTCACGCCGACATATGATCCCCTCTTCTCTCAAAAGCTCTCA